AATCGGTGGTGATGTAGCAGAGAACCCTGATAACAGCAGTGTGATAAACTTGGAGGTCACAGACACAGAAGAAAATGAATGTATGGCAGCAGAAGAAAAGAAACAAGTAGCAGCAGAAGTTGAAAGCAGCAATCCAAGTGATATTGATGACATGTTTCTGGAAGATATGGAAGAAAAAGAATGGTTTCACAAAGGTAATTGTTTACCATGTTGATGTAATTTTTAAATATTTTGATAATATACTTCAATTTATGAAGTACGGTTAAAGGTTTTGAGGTAAAAATATCAACAAATGACTGCACACACAATGGTGAAACAGAGAAAAAGGAGATTGTATTACGTGCTAATATGTGTTACATTTCTTGTCCAGTAACATTTGTGCAGACCCACAAGTCACAGCCAGACTGGAGGCAAAAGTGAGAAAAATGAGTTTGCACGGCCCTTCATTTCATGACCTGATGACAAGAAGCTGGCTGGGCGATAAGGTAAATGTAAATAACAGTAAACAAGGAGGGCAACTGGACTGATTCGTCAAATGTTTTTGAAAAGTTAACTTTTTCCTCATTGTCTAATGTAGGTGATCAATGTGAATTTGAGTGTGTTGTTGAGAAAGCAAGCAGAAAGGTAAGCTACTTCTTGTGTTGCTACATGGAAATATTAATTATATCAATAATGAAACAGTCAAAATAATGGTTTTAAAAAATATTCAAGTCCAAATAGCATGGAAGTATGAATATCAACCAACAGCTGCAGCAGTTTGCTGTATTTCCTGCTGCCAAACATGTATTCAATAGTATTTTGATTTATATACCTGAGGTACAGTACTTGACATGTTGAAGGCAACATTAGTTTTACTATAGAGTTCAGTGGGGCCATGACTCCAACACGGTATCTGCACTGGTTAGTCAGTTTTTAAAGCAAGTAAGACAGAACATGTGGGTGTTAAAAATAAAGAAATGCTTGTAATCTGTGTTCCATATCAACTTATTTTTAACAGTGAGTATCCCTTCTAGGTATGTATTTATGAACTACATTATATTCTTTGTGTGACAGAATGATTAATCCATTTAATACAAGCTCATGCGTAAACAGGTATAAGCCATGCCATCTCTGGAGTAGTTTCCACTAGTATTCTGTCAGGAAGACAGAGAAATGAAATTTGAGATGGTAAATGTTAATAATCTTTCCTGCCCACCCTGGGGGCAAAACATATTTTAATAAAGGCAGCTAAGCACAGTCTTAAGTAACAGTAAATACAACGTGATATAAGGGAATGAATAAAAGTAAGCAGGTACTTAAGCAATTATTTAAACTGGAAAAACAGTATAATCTCAAGCACATAGTTTGCTTAATTGACCAGTATAACTGCAGATTTTTTCTCTTTTTTTAAATGAACACTGAGTGGAATCATGCAAAATGATATACTTCCTTACAATGCACTAGGTCATTGGATTATTGTGGTAAAATGTTTTCCATTCTTATTCTTTGGGATTGTCTCAACTAATGTAAATACAGCTAGTAGCTGTGATGTTTTTTCCTGTATTATTATTGTGGGTTTTCAATAACTTGAATAGATACAAATAAAAATAAACTTTGTTGTAAGGTTTGGAATTATGCAAACTGCAGTTCAAGAAATAAAATGCTAGTTTGAAGAATTTTTTATTGTGTTGATAATGTATATTTAAACAATATACTCTGTACTGTTTTAATAGAGGCACTCACAATATTACTTTCTCATGGGTATTAGTGAGAAATTACAAATGAGATTATCTATATGCATTGTTTGGAAAAATTCTAAAATCGTTTGAATTATATTAACAGTGACATGTGTATGTATATTTACACTTACAGTTAACATTAATGGAAACAAAAGAAATGTTAATAATTGAACCCATCTGTGATGAGATGAGATATGAAAGAAACTTTCTGAGAACTAGTACTTATTTCTGTCGTTATTTCTGTAGTTAACATGAAGTGTTAGTATGAAGTGGTTTTCAATAAATGTGATTTAACAACAATATAAGAGAGTACGTTCCTGATAGCTACAGATAAAAATGAGAATAGCACATACTTGTGCTTACTCTCTTTAATACTAGACATTGACTGAACTGGTAGGATTGGTAGTCAGTCTCCACCCCCTCTACTAGAATGGAAGGAAGGATGATGATTGTCACGCTGTATGGAGTGGCTCACGACCATGAGTGCCATCCTCAGGGCAGACTGTCAAGAAGCAGGGCAGAAGCTCCAAACTGGTTGTATTATGCTATAATTAGATTTCACCAGTCCAGTAACAAATGTGAACTACTAAAGCACTAAACAGTCTTACAGTGGTGTCACAGACTGTCCCCTTGGGCATTCCAGTTCCTCTCGCCACCCAGGCAAGCTAGACGTAATGCTCTGCACCAAAGATCACAAAATATTCAGGTAACTTCCTGTCCCAGGAGACCTATCACTTACCCCAGGTCAATTGGTATCTTAGAGCTCAGACCAAAGACAACACTGTAGGCAAACTTATAGTAAACTATCTAAGGATTTATTAACTAAGAAAAGAATTAGAATTATTACAAAGTTAAAGGTGGCAAGCATACATACAAATGAGTTAGTCTATGGTTTTACAAAGTTATAAGGTTGTAGTGATCTGTCAGCTCTAAATGTCTTTTAGGGCTAACCCAGATTGACCCTAGGGATCTCAGATTCTCTTTCTTAGCTCCGGCCCTGTAAGAGTCAAACAGAAAAAGAGATGAAAAAAATTTCTTGTCAGCTGTTTTTATTTTCTTCTTCCAGAATTCAAGCTTATGGGACAAGCCCTTTTGCACGTAGCCTCTTCATGGGTGCAAGGGGATAATTAACAATGTCTTTGTATTGTGATGTTCCACAGTGGCACACTTATTTTTGATAGGCCTTCTTGAGGGGCAGGAGATGATCCCTCCTGCCTGGTTCACAGTTTTATAGTTACAAAGCAAAAACTTAAATGTTACCGCATAGCATGTGATAAAGAAATGATCTGTGACGTTAAGGCATGTTGCAACTTACAAGCATTTCATAAGGTCTAAACACTAAACACATTGTTATAAATTCAATACCCTCTTAACCATACTAACACAGAGACAGGTTCCCAGCAATTACTTTGTCAGTGTTTGGCTGAGGCCTAACGCCTTGGCACAGGCTGGCATCAGGCCTGCCAGCATCTCAATGATGCCACAGAAGCTGTGGTTCCCCTTTCCAAGCAGAAGGGAGAGAACCAGTGTGAAGTTCTAGGGGGCAAATTCAACTCTGAGAGGCCCAGCCAGGCCCAAAGTATTGTTAAGAAGAGATGACCCTGGCAGACTTTTTACTCCCTTGGAGTTGTGCTCCAGGCCCTGAGTCCTGCTTTATCGCATGCTTCCTTAACTAGGGAAGATCTTTCTTTCTTCAGGATTGGCAGAAGCAGCATGTTAGGTGTCTTTTACATAGATTAACAGACTGGCATCTCTTCATTTCTTCTCCTGACAGAATTTTCTAGTACCCAGGACCATATACTGCTTTGTGACAACTAATTCATAATACTTACTAAGTCTACTGCAGCTGCTGCTTTTGTGTTGGTGCCGTCTATAGAATGTACACATTAACTCTCTGAGTTTTTCCTCATACAGGCCAGTCTGTGTCCTGGGTCCCATTATTGTTACACACACCATACAAGATAGAAAACAAAACAATTAAATACACCACCTAGTTTCAGTGTTTTGACCACTTTGCTTGTCAAAGAAATAAGGATTAACAAGTGGGAATAAAGCAAACATACATGTTGCATCTCACTATTACATGGGCATTGGTTGGGAATTTCAACTGAATAAACATTTCTATGAACAAAAATACAGTACCAAGAACAGGAGACAGTGAAATATTTAGAAACTTCATCTAAATATGTTAGGTCAATTTTTTTACGATGAGTCTAACAAATTCTGTGTCTATTCAATAAGAGTTGAATATGTGTATTGGAGCCTTATTACCATTTATGATTAACAGCAATACCCCAAGGTGGATTTATTTTAGTGTGAAAGTCTATAAAGCATGTCTATTTAGAGTTAACTTCTAAATTATGGGCCTGCCCACAGTGAAGTCAATGAAAATCTTGCTATATACTTTAAAGTGACAAGACCCCAAATAAATACCATACCATTGTACATCTCACATGCTATAGTTGATTATATCTTAACCCCAAACAGATACTTGCTGAATTACATTTATAACTGTTACATGCGTATCAAAAGCTTTGGCACATTTATTAAACAAAAGTTAAAAAGTTTTTAATGGACTCTGAAGGATTCACTAGGAGGGTGGTGAAGCACTGGAATGCGTTACCTAGGGAGGTGGTGGAATCTCCTTCCTTGGAGGTTTTTAAGGCCCGGCTTGACAAAGCCCTGGCTGGGATGATTTAGTTGGGAATTGATCCTGCTTTGAGCAGGGGGTTGGACTAGATGACCTCCTGAGGTCCCTTCCAACCCTGATATTTTATGATTCTATGATTCTATGATACATTTGTGACAATTAATTAGAAACAAAAGGCCAAATTCTCTTCTCATTTATACTATGCACTTTTACTGGAGCCAATGGAGTTATGTTGGCATAAATAAGAGGAGGACCTGGAACACATTACATGCAGTAGGAAAGTACCACCACCAAACATTTACACAAATTATATTTAAAACACTCACTATTAAATAATGCCAAAATAGTCTAATCAGTTCAAATAGTGTTGGTTTATATCTCAGGAAACAACATTTTTATGTACAGCTGCAATACGATATTGGAATTTCCAAACTGGTGTTCACTTGAATGTGTTTATAATACATATGTACAGGAAATGGGATACTATCTACAAACTTAGCACTTCAAAGAACTCTTCTTGTTGGGCATGCTTCAATAGGGAAGCGATTAACCTATTTTTAAGGCAGTGTCTTATTTTTCCCTTTAATGTAAAGGCTGTTGTATTTATCACAGTACAGATCATTTTTTCATGTTTTTCACGACAGTGTTACAAAAAGTCACTTGCATGTCATATAAGGTCATGCAATGAAGAAGGTTAGTCACTTGCTTAAACATTTGGTTCTGGTACATTTACAGGACTGTAAGATCCATTTATCTTTGCTTTCCTTGACTTGTAAACCAATATTGCAAGTGCAGGGATTGCCACTGTTGGTAAACAAGAGAGCACAACAATCACAGGAATCACATAATCTGTTTCTTTCACCATTTCTGCAAAACGAGAAAAAAAAAAGAGACAGAAGAAGTTGATTAAAAACTGTTACAAGTAGATGTATGCACATCACTGTAAAGGCAATGTTACTGTTATGTCATCTTCCTCTCCTCCAGCTTTGAGCATATTGTCTGACCCCTTTGAATTCTTTCACTGGATTCCTCTCTCTTACTGCATCACATTCAAGGTCTTGTCCACATGTACAAGGCCCTCTGTAATCTTGGTACATCTACATCTCTGATCCTATTTCCCCACCCTACCCTCTTTCCAATCAGTTCATCTTTCTGTTGCCATCATCTCCTGACTCCTCCCACACTGGGTTCGCACTTTTTATAATGCAGTTCCCTATGCCCAGTGGTGTCTATCGGACAAAGATTTGCATAGGGGAACTCTAGCTTTCCTGAGCTCCACTTATGCTCACTAATTCAGAGTATCTTAGGCCTGGTCTACACTAGGACTTTAATTCGGATTTAGCTGCCTTAATCCGAATTAACCCTTCGCCCGTCCACACTACAGAGCCAGTTAATTCGAATTAAAGGGCCCTTTAAATCGATTTCTGTACTCCACCTCGACGAACGGAGTAGAGCCTAAATCGATTTTGTTAATTCGAATTAGGGTTAGTGTGGACGCACACCACCGAATTACTGTGTTTAAGTTAATGGGGTAGTGTGGCCGCACACCACCGAATTAATGTGGTTTAAAACCGAATTAAGGTGCTTAGTGTGGCCGCGCACAATCGAATTTATACAACCTGTTTCCCAAATTCGAATTATCTAAATTCGGATTAATCCTGTAGTGTAGACATACCCTTAGAAAGTGCCCCTCAGTACTATGCTCCATGATATTCTCCCCTGGAGCTCCAAAATGAATGTGAACATGTGCATGATATAGTCTGGGGCACTGAAGCAGCTGTTTCACATGGATCCTGCTCTGAAAGAGCTATCTTCCCATGTTAACAGCTATGAACGGGTGAATTGATGTTATTATGGTTTTAGTTTCTCATTTTTCTGAGTGGAGCAGTGCCCCAGCTATTGCAATGGGACAGACCCTACTGCCTTCAACTGGAACACGCTCCTGGTTCTCATCTGCATCACACTCTCCATCATCCTTCAAATCCCTTCTTAAAACCCACTTCTTTAAGCAATCTGTCTTGCATTCTCTTCTTCAGTAAACACCCTCCCTAATCAACTTAATCATTGTTCAGTGTCTTGGGTTTGTTAGTCTTACGTAAGTTCAGGCCTGTTTGGCATAGTACACAATAAAGCGTGTTGTAAGCTGGCTGCTCCAGGGAGGATCAGGAGGCATTCTCCCTCAAGCAGACAGAGTGCCTCCAGCAGCTCCCCAGCGCACATCAAGGCGCCCTCTATCTCCTTTTGTGGGGTTCAGGCTTCTTCTCCTTATGTGCCAATCTTGCTCTGCAGACTGGTGCATAGAGGAAGTGGGGCTATGCCTGCCTTCTCCCCACCTTCCTTGAGCCACTGTGCCACTTTGGGGTAGCATTGCTAAGAGTATCAGTGCTGTATAGGAAGCTATTACATTATTGATATTCACTAGTGAACTGTTCTGTTATGTTTTTCACCACTAACCATGGTATATCTATGTGTAGGTGAACAGTACACTAGCTGTGCTAACAGCAACCTTTCAATCACTGGAAGATAACAATACAAGTAAGTTCAAAGCAACATATATGCCTACCTACAACAGCTATCTCAATCACATCAGTGTTATTTCTAGTCTCATTGTTATTTCCAGTCTCATGGTGTATGCCTGTGTCATTTTTGCTGACTGTAGAGGTGTCATTCTGTGATGAGAGGATGGTTGTGTTGCTTGGATGGATCTTTTGCGGGACTGTCTGTGGAGGTGAATTACTATAGGTTGTACTCATAATAGTGATATTTTCCCCTTCATCAACATTGTCTGATGGAGATATTAACTCTGTAGTATTCTGGGGAGGAACTAAAAGGAAAGAAAATGTCAGGTAAGATTTAAATGCAAATGTAGAGACTGACAATCACAGCAGGCTCTCAGGGCATTAATTCAGTTGAATGATTCACTACAATCTTTTCTTTAAAATCTACTTGATCACTAGCTAAAGGTACTCTCTAGTCTTCACACAGTGCTGCTGGCAGGAAGGATATTTTATTAATTGATGGACATAGCACCCTTCACTTTATACCGAACTTTTTTTCTTTAATTTAAAATGATTATGTATATTCATGAAAGGATAAAAATAGACAAGCATGGCTTCTGAAGTCCTCATTCTACAGAACAGGCACAGCAAAGGCAAAGACAAAGAATCAGAAGCTAAAAGAGAGCATGTTTGCCCAGCCTTCAGACATGTGACCTTTTTCTCAGAAAGTCATTAGGATTCCACGGTTTCAAACCCTGTTTTGCGGGACCCCAATGTAAGGGACTGTTAAAAGATTTTGGAGAACAATTGTTTTCTGATGTCTGGATCCTTCTGGAGGACAGACTTCACTGTTAATCTGTTCCTACTAATTATATATGACAAGACCCTGGGTAACTCACTACATGACACACACAACATTAAAATCCTAGGGAATGACAAAAAATGACCCCAAAACCTAGAGTCTGAAGAAATTGGCTGATATTTTAGACCATGTTTTATGCCTCTAGCAAAAAACCGAACAAACCCCACTTCATTAACATAGAGAACATTATTTTAACTGACCTTTGACATCAAGCATTATATTTTTAAATTGCTGTCCAAGCTCGTTGCTGGATTCACATTAATACATTCCTGCATCCTCTAGCCGAGCCCCATATATGGTATATCTGTCACTTTCACATACTACGGGTATGTCTACACAGCCCATGGCAGTGAGCCTTTCAGCTGGGCTGACAGCCTCGGGCTCGTGGGGGTTGTGCTACCTCTTAAAAATTGCTGTGTGGATATTGTGGCTTGGGCTGGAGCTCGGGCTCTGAAGCCAACTCTCTCCCTAGGGATCAGAGCTCAAGCTCCAGGCCAAGCCACAATTTAAACATGCTGCCTACACAGCTATTTTTAGTGCAGTAGCTCAAGCCCTGTGAGCCCGAGTCTGTCGCCTCGGCATGGAGGCTTTCTGCAGGCTGCCAGTGGCTGTGTAGATGCACCCGATGGGGATCTAGTGATTCAGAGAGCTTTGCCTGAGGTAAATTTTACCCTTAATGACTAAGGGCCATTCTTGACCTCACAGAAGCCAAAGGCAAAATTCTCACAGATTTCAGTCTGAGCAAGATTAGCCCTAAAATTTCGAAGCAAGGCTTACAATGTATCATGTTGTACACACCTTGAACAATTAAGTCCACAGTTTTTTTCTCTCTTCCAAACTGGTTAACTCCTTCACACTCATAAAGCCCCAAGTCTTCAGCCTTTATGTTATTTATAGTTAAAGTTGCATTTTCAGAAAGAAACTGCGACTCTCCACTGATTGAACGCTTTGTCCAGGAGATCTTTGGAGCTGGATTACCATAGCTGGTACATGTCATTGTCACAGCTCCCCCTTCTTTCACTGTGGTGGAGGGGGTGACAGAGACCATTGTATTTCTTGGTCCATCTAAAACGAAGGATCCATTGTTAGTTATTAATAACAGGAGCAAAGAGAGGGTTCTTTATTAAGTGCTAGATTGTCAGCCCTGGACACTGAAATCCTCTATTTATCCTCAAATCAAATACAGCACAGATAGCTTTTGAGCTTCAGTGCAAGCCCTCCTTAGCCAATGTGCCTCAGTCCTGACCAAGAGGGTCTGTTTATATGGATGGGAGGGCAGTACAGTCTCAATCCCCACTCAGTCCTTGAGCTGAGACTGCCATCACTCTGAGGGCTAAATGGGGACTAGCCCTTATGCACTGCACATTGGGACAACTCCCCTCTCCTTTTGTACAGCCCCTATAAGGGCCACACATTCACAGCCCCTGTGCTCGGGGACTGCAGAGGATGTGACTTACGATAGATTACGATATATTTGATTTGTGCCTGCAAAGAGGTGGCAGACTCCCTATACTGTCACATTTCTGCCTGCAGTCAATTGCAAGTACCAAACTGGGCCCTGATCCTACAATGAGTTCCTTGGGTGCGCAAGGATCTGTCCAGAGGATGCTCATTACAGGATTGGGGTCTTAGAGGCTAGGATGACACCCCTTTGGAATTTTGACCATGAATTCTACTGTATATTTATTTTTGTGACGTTGCTGTCCAAATGTAGTTAAACTGTATTCATTATAGGGATAACATTATTGTATACACCTCCCGTCAGACATGTGAATCACATTATGGAATTTCCTAATAGTGCTGTATAGGGTTGAAAAAGAATTAATAAATAATGGTGAAGCAAGGGACTCTGACTTGTCATTGTCTGATTGCTTTGATTGATGCAATGCACCTAGGTGTCTTGGCAACAATCTTATATTTTAAGTAAACAATTAAATATTATAGGGAATGATCCTGCAGTTCTTTTTCAGAGACTGAATCTGAAGTTGAGTTTTGCCAAAGGCAGGACCTACAGGACTGGGCCTGTCATAAGGAGAATTTAATTAAAAGGCACAGGGACAGGTGAAAAGATTGATTTTCAGGTGAGATTTCAAAGAGGTAGTTAATGAAGCAGACAATAGATGACATTTATAATTCATCTTATTTTAAGCTTTACTGGAGGAAATGGTCTCTAAAAGAAATTCATAGATTGCAAAGATAACATTTGACACAAATGGTTATTCTTCACATGAAGGGATTACAAGACTGTGCCCAGAGATGATACGACCTAAGGGCCATGTCCTATCCTTGATCTTTGTGCAGTACAGTCACTGACGTCAGTGCGAGATCCAGTGTGGATCAGGAGTACCTTTTTATATCCCTAACTTTGTAGCCCTGGTCCATGAATCCTAATGTAAAATTTAACCCCTAATATAAATATACTTACAGTTTACACTCAATCTCTGTGAAGTCTGTCTTTTCTTGGGTTCAAATTCCATTTCATCAATCGGTAATTCAGCCACACAAGTAATCGCTTTCCCAATGTCTTCAAAGGTGGGGATAAAAGTCAATGTCAGACTTTTTGTCTCAATGGTTTTGGTGCTTCCTTCCTCATAAAACTCTTTCATGCTAGGAACAGATCCATCTTTCTCCAGCTGCATCGTCAAACGCTCAGAAGGATACACTTTGGGAACCATACAGGTGATATTGGCTTTTTCCCCAACATTCAGGGGTGTGCTGATCTCAATGACTGGA